TTAATGTATTCTGAAACATTAAAAATATAAAAAATACATGATATTTATTTTGTGTACTGGCTATATTATTTTATTTTAATACTTACAACGTCTTTACTCACTGGTTAGATTAGGAATTCACAGCTTCGCTAAAAGTTCGATAAATCCAACTTTGAGCGTTACCTTCGCTCACCTTCGCTGTATCGTTACTTTGGTAGAGTGGGGGTAAACGCCAGCTTTAGCTTCGCTCCGTGAAATGGCAGCTTCATTTGTCGCTGAATATTAGCGACGAGCGACACCATGAACACGCACCTTACGACTTCTATGTAGACGAGGTTTTAGTGCAAAGTTGGTGTGACATTGAAAAATTCGCGGTGTTGACGAATAACGTGTAAATACATTTATACGTTGGAGCAAATTTCCGTAACATCGTATAAAATGGAAAAAAAGAAAGGATATCAAATTTGCAGCGTTCGAACGTGCGGAAATAAAACCACAAAACCAAATTCCCATTTTTTTCACTTTCCTAAGGATATTGAAAGGTTAGTATATGTCAAGACTGTATACATATTACAGGACAATTTTTGTGCTTTAAATCATAAAATATAAAAATTGAACAAATTAGTATGGCTTGTATGTGTCAAACACAAATTTCAAGAAATATAGGACTCAGAGCCATGACAGGGTGGTAGTGTCTAAATATTTTATTGTAAGTTTATTGCGAAAAAATATACCCTGGCCGAGGTGATATTTTTTCGCAATTAACTTAGAATAAAATATTTAGACTCTGTCACGGCTGAGTCCTTTATATTTTCTTGAAATAAAAATTGAATTTAATCATTTTAGGTTAAGACAATGGGCAATTGTATGTGGTCGGAAAGATCTTTTGAAAAAGTCACCAAAAAAGGTATATTCCTGCAATGTAGTTTGCAACGATCACTTTGAAGACAGAATGTATGCAAATGATTTAAAAAACCGTTTGCTTCCTCTAGCTCAACCAACTCTCAATTTGATAGACAATTTAGAAAGTGATAAAAATAATATGGTAAGTAAAGAAATGATAAAAGAGTCGAGTTGATGATACATACATATACATACATATATATGCTGTAGCTGATAATGTTAATATATTTACCTTTTCCTCTGGAACTGTAATCTCTGCAAGGGATAAAAACGCAACACTGAATTGGCAATGGGTTTAAATGTTAAATATATTTTTTATAAAATTTGATTTCAGGATTGTGCAGATGTAAGAACTGGCACTTCATCTGACATTCGACAAAACACACGTTCGTTGGAAGGGAAAGAAAGGTTGCAGTTTTCTACAGAGCACGATGTACAAGTGGAATACAATTACATGAACTTGGAACCAATTAACACCACCAATTTTCTTCAGTCTTCAATTACCGATTTTGCAGCAAACAACAGCAGCGTGACAGATTCTAATATTGTAGTTACTGCAGAGCGTCCCAGTGCGTCAAGGACCCAGTGTGTTCAGGACAGTAAAGGAGCCCAACTGCTACACAATCAAAGTATTTATAAAGTTACTCAAACTCCGCAATATTTGTCCGCTCATACTCCGAGAAAATTAAAACTACAAAGAAAAGTGGGACATCTAAAAAAAGAGATTGCCACTCTGCGTGCAATAAACAAAAAATTGGAAGATGTAACCGAAGATCAATTTCTGAAGACCTGTGAAAAATTTATGTCACCTCTAATAGCATTGTTCGTAAGAGAACGAGTATTATCTGGCAAGAAAAAAGGCCAAGGTCGGAAGTATTCCCTACAATTAAAACGATTGTGCTTGAATTTATATTTTAAAAGGCCAAGAGCGTACAGGATGTTGTCATCAATATTTTATTTGCCAGACAAAAAGATTCTCAATAGAATGACAACTAATATTTCTATTACGAGTGGTTTAAATCAAAACGTGTTAAATTTATTAGCCGTTAAATTTGCAACTATGCAAGAATCTGAAAAAGTTTGTGTGATATGCTTTGATGAAATGTCATTAAAATATCATTTATATTATAATACAAAGGCTGATAAAGTTACTGGTTTTCATGATAGTGGCAATGAAAAGCAACCAGCAAAATATGCATGCGTCTTTATGGCGAGAAGTATTTTTGCTAATTGGGAACAGCCTCTTGCGTTCGAATTTTCATATACATCTTGTTCAACTACAATTCTCAAACAATTACTAACTCGGTGTATTCTTGAATTGCAAAATATTGGTTTAACAGTTGCCGCTGTAGTGTGTGATATGGGTCCTAAGAATATTCAGCTTTCAAATGAATTAGGAATTACGCCTAGTACTCCACATTTTACGCTGAACGGCCGCAAAATTTTTTGGTTATTCGACGTGCCGCATTTGATGAAGGCAACGCGAAATATGTTTTTAAAATATACTTTTACGTTTAACCAATTTTTTGCTAAGATGAAGTATGTAAGACAATTTTATGAGCTCGATAAAACAATGCAGTTCAGGTTGGCGCCGGAATTAACTGACGCTCATGTAAATCCAGGTCCATTCCAAAAAATAACTCGATTTGCTACTCAGCTTCTTAGTCACTCTGTTGTTACAGGTATAAGTACATATATGCATTTTGAAAAAATATCAACTGAGGCAGTTGGAACAGTAACTTTCATAGACAAGATGGATAAACTTTTTGATATGTTAAATTCTACCGTAAAATACTCAGGAGATAAATTACATGCTCACGTTTTCGAAGGGAATAAATTTCAGATTGTTTTTTTAAAAGAATGTTTAGAGTTTTTCGATTCATTAAAAATTAAGAATGGTGATGGTCAGAACATAACAAATCAAATGAAATTCATAAATGGCTGGAAAGTTACTATTTCAGGCGTGCTGCAATTATGGGAATGCCTCAAAGAAAAAAAATTTAATTGTCTGCAAACAAGGAGATTAAATCAGGATCCTGTAGAAAACTTTTTTGGAAGAATTCGTTTATATGGAGGAAACTGTTTGAACCCTCCTGCCTGGAAGTTTATTGCAGCATTCAAAAAATTGCTATTTCATAATATTTTAAATACAGAGAACGAAAACTGCGAGGATGATTTAGATAATATCTTGTTTGACTTAAGTGCATTGAATCGCGATGAAATAGAAGAAATTGAAGGAGAAAAAGAAAGTAGTCTTTTTGAAGAGTTTACAACGGACGATGTAGATTATCAGAAGCTTGATCTACTAGAAAAAAATTCTATTAAATATGTATGCCGATTTCTGATGAATAAGTGTTTAAAAAAACATTCTTGTTCAATTTGCGAAAATTATGTTATTGATGACGTGGAATTTCACGATGCGACAATTTTTTCGTTTTGTAAAACGTATCAGAATAATACTTCAATTTGTGGAAATGTAAACATATTTCATGATAATTTCATTTTTTACATATGTTCGTTGGATGCAATTTTTAGAGAGCACTTTCAAAATTTTATTTCAGAAAAAAATGTTATAAAATCTTTTTTAACTGAAGCTACAATAATTACATTCAATCACCCTTGCGAAAGTTTTCCACATGTTTATTTACAAAAATTGTTTTTTCGAATGCGGCTCTATTACACATTAAAATTCATAAATTACAACTTTCGATCTACCAATAACCCGAATAAAATAATAATTTGGGAGCATGAGTAAATGCTATAAAAGTGCGTAAAATAGTTTTATATAATTATTACGGCTAATAAATTTAACACGTTTTGATTGTTTTATATAATTAATAAGTGAATTAAGTAAATATAATACTTTCAGATGTATGTTAAATAAATTGAAGAAAATTGCCTGAAAAGTGTCAATAACGAATATCAATAACGATCGCGGAGAAAAAATATAAACAATGATCAGAATAATATGAGACTTGAAGTAAAAATCGCTTTCAACTGTTAAAATATTGCGGTAAACAAACTATCGATTAATTGAACATTTTGAAAAGAACTTTGTTTAATCTTTAGACATATATGTCTCGAGTCCATCTATTGGATTCTGCACCACGGTCGCATATAAACTGGATGCGCTGAACGAAGATGCACGGGACAGGGCAATGATTCGAATACTCGAAGTATTACGTGAAGAACGCTACAGGGACCAAGTTTAGTTCAGCTTTATTTTTTTGGTCAATCTAATTTAATATTTTTTAATCGTATTTGACTGACTTGGTACTATAAGATTTATTATATAAAGATAATTTAATATTTTTTAATCGTATTTGACTGACTTAGTACTATAAGGTTAATAAAGTAAGTTAATAAGTTAATTATAGATAGTTGATAGTTGAAAACAGTTGATCAGGTGTACATACACAGAGAAGTACATATGCTTAGTATATATTGTGTATATTTATATATTTTAAATTGTTATAATTATAGATACATGTAAAACAGATATTATATCAATATATAGAATATTTTATTTATGACGGTTACTTTGCCAAGGTACTTTTCCTTCATTGCAAAAGTAGTCGCAAAATTCATCGCGTATTTTAATACAGTTTCGCGCACTAGTATTCGAGGCACAACGACCAATCTCTTGAAAAGCGCAGCCATCTTCGAATATTCTTCGCCAAGAACCTGGTGTGAAACTATTTGGGTCATTGGCGTGAATTTCATCCACCATACCCGCAGAAACGTATGTATTTTTGCCAATATCGTCTTTGCGGATCCAATTATGCAGACAAACCGTCGCCTGCACCATCAATTTAGCATTTTCTGGGAAAGCAATAATTGGTTTGCGATATATTCGCCACTGGCTAGCCAAAATTCCAAAAGTATTTTCGATAAGCCTTCTCGCACGGCTTAATCTGTAATTGAAAATGTCCTGCTCCGGTGTTAATCCGTTCTTGCCGGGGTAGGGGCGAAGCAAATATGGTTTTAAAGGGAATGCTTTGTCTCCCACAAGACAGTATGGCAGAATTCGTCCTCCTGCAACAGCTGATGGCTTTGGTACATTCATGCGGTTTGCATTGAAGTTCTTGCCGATAGCACTGTCGCTGAAAATACCTCCATCGCTTCGTCGTCCGTACGCTCCAATGTCAACGAAACGGAATATGTAGTGTGCATCACAAATGGCCATCAATACTACACTATGAGCACTCTTGTAGTTATAGTACGTTGAGCCAGCATTGTTGGGACACTGAAACAAAATTAGCCATTTATTTTTGAAAACTATAGAAAAATATAGTTCACCACATATTGAATACATACTTGAATTGTTACATGTTTTCCATCGATGGCACCAATGCAGTGAGTGAAATTAGACAATTCTTCAAAATCATTTGCAATTTGGAGCCAGTCTTCTTCCGACAATGCTGGCGATAAAACCAAAGGACACAAACTGTTCCAAATTGCTTCGCACGTCTCTCGAATGATATTGACAACTGTTGCTATCCCAACCAAATACTGATATGACATTGATGTCATTGAATCGCCAGAAGCAAGATATCTAGAATATTGTAGAAATACGAAGATATATAATATCTAAGCAATATCAAAGCAATAAACAACAGTTTTGTCTATAAAATTGCAATAATAAAATTAAAATGTTTAAAAACCTCAGTGTTATTGCCAAACGTTCTTTCGGTGTTATAGACTCTCGAATAACATTTTGTTTTGTCAATAGCGGACCAACAATCGACAATAATTCCTCCAATTGTGTTGCGGACATTCGGAAATAATTGTGGAATCGTACTCCATCCTCTATGGTCAGTTTCGGAATTGAAACATGGTAAAAACTGTGCTCCGGTCGATTCTTTAGATATGGTGCCACCCAGTATTGTTTCTTCTTGTGCGGTCTCTTCTCTGTTTTTTGCAATTTTCGCATAATTGCACACAATACCAGTATTCGTCGTTTCCTAACCTCTTTAGCTATTACCGACGCCAATTTATTTCGCAACGTTGCCGACAAAATAATGTTTGGGTCATTTAAACGCACTTTTACACGCATCCTTAATAAAATTACTTCACTTTGAATAAAATTACGTAATTTTGAATAAAATTACGAATAAACTCTGAAGGAAAACAATCCTCAGCGATTAGCGATTTGTCGCTCCATGAAATAGTAGCCGGTATTTAGCGCTGGCTTTTTGTCGACGACAAAGAGGATCATATAGAGTGGAAGCTGCCATAAGAGCACAATGTTAAATAGCGTGGCCGAATTTCAGAGCCATCTACCAGTTCAGACGCCACACTAAATCCCCCCCACTCTTCGTTAGCGCCACAATTTAAATCTTGAGATTTAGTAAAATTATTAATTAAATAAAGAAAGGGAAATCAAATGATTTAAATAATAATAACAACATTGAGTTATATATGGGTCATTCTCCGTCAACCGGTGAGGCCGCCTACCCAAAATTGGTTTCAACGAAAGTAAACGAGTATGGGCTTAAAATTCATAAAAAAATAAG